GCGTGCACTCTTCAACAGTGGGGTTGGTCTTTTTTGGGTCGTAAGCGGTGAGGTTCTTTTTCCTTGCTGCTTTCTTCCTTGACATTTTGACCTTGTTTCTGACTTTAAACATTTTTCTTAAAACATGTCTGTGGATTTTATTGCACTGATTCTACTTGGAGTTCATTAAGTTTCCTAGACTTATAGGTTATATTGTGTTTTTTGTTTTTATTTGCATAAATTTTTTTTAACTCTCATCTCATTCCTCTCCTGGTATTCATTCTCATTGTATATATTGTTGTGCTTAATGGTGGCCAATATTTCTATGAGACTTATTTTTCTTCATTCTGTTACTCAGTTTTCCATTTTGCTTAATTTCTGTTGATGATTTTTCAAGTTTGTTAAGTTTTCTTTGGTCAATCCAAATCTACTTTTGAGGTGTTTTTTATTTTAAATATCTTTTACTGCACTTTTCCAGCTCTAGAATTTACATTTGCTTCTTTAAAAAGATTTTTAATCTTATTGTATTTCCTCTTTTTTTTTTTGTATTTCCTCTTAATGTGACATTTTCATTATAACTTTCTTTAGTGATGCCTTTCGTTTCGAGCGATGGTGTCATAGTTGGTTACGAGTTGGGTTGAAAACTTCAAGATCAGTCCTAGTTTGAAACCAGCAGTTTACTCCATGGGAGAACGATGAGGCTTTCTATTCCCGTAAAGAGAGAGCGCCAGAAACCCACAGAAGCAGTTTACTCTGTCCTAAATTTGGGGTCACGATGAGTTGAAATTGACAGTGAGAGATAAAGAATGGAACATGCTTCCTGGGAGTTCTGAGTGGAAGTGTTTAGGGGAGCAGTCAGCCTTATCTTTCTCCCATGAAGAGGCTGTTGGGTCTGAACCACTGACCTTACAGTAAGCAGCCCACAGGACCACCAGAACTCCTTTGTATTTCCATTTAATTCTGTGTCTGGTTGTTCCCATGGATAATTTCTCTTGGCCTTTCCCCCAGTGTATGGGTCGTACTTGGTGTTTCTTTACATGCCTTAAGAATTATTTTTTGGAAACTGGACATTTTAAATAATAAATTTTAATAATAATAAAGCAATTCTGGCTATTGTCCCCTTCCCTGACTTGTTATTGTTATTTGCTTATTTGTTTCATGACTGACTAGATTATTTTAGTGACATATACCCACCCTCCCTCCCGCTCTCCCTACCCCCAGCAGTGTTTGCTCTTTGGTGTTCATCAGGGAGGTTCCTAGGATAACTGCACCTCTTGGGGCTCTTTCCTCTCTTTTTCTCACCCCATTCACCTGTTTAGTTAATTGTTCTTTTGTTTTAAAAAATTTCTGGCGGCATAAATTTCTCTATAAAATAATCTAATCAAATATTAGCTCCCTGAAAGGAACAGTTTTTATTTCTGTGTGTGTGTGTGTGTGTGTTTAAGCAGTTTTATTGGCATGTAATTGACAAGTCATACAGTTCAGTAGTTCAGTCATTTTTTAAAAATCGTTTTATTAGGGGCTCATACAACTCTTTATCACAATCCATACATATATCAATTGTGTAAAGCACATTTGTACACTCATTGCCCTCATCATTCTCAAAACATTTGCTCTCCACTTAAGCCCCTGGCATCAGTTCCGCATTTTTCCCCCTCCCTCCCCACTCGCCCCTCCCTTATGAGCCCTTGATAATTTATAAATTATTATTTTGTCATATCTTGCCCTGTCCGACTTCTCCCTTCACCCGCTTTTCTGTTGTCCGTCCCCCAGGGAGGAGGTCACATGTAGATCCTTGTAATCCGTTCCCCCTTTCCAACCCACTCTCCCTCTACCCTCCCAATATTGCCACTCACACCACTGGTCCTGAAGGGATCATCCGCCCTGGATTCCCTGTGTTTCCAGTTCCTATCTGTATCAGTGTACATCGTCTGGTCTAGCCAGACTTGCAAGGTAGAATTCAGATTATGATAGTGGGGGGAGGGGAGGAATCAAACATTTAGGAGCTAGAGGAAAGTTGTGTTTTTCATCATTGCTACATCGTACCCTGACTGGCTCGTCTCCTCCCCAGACCCCTCTGCAAGGGGATGTCCAGTGGCCTACAAATGGGCTTTGGGTCTCCACTCTACACTCCCCCCCTCATTCACTATGGTAAGATTTTTTGTTCTGATGATGCCTGATCCCTGATCCCTTCGACACCTCGTGATCGCACAGGCTGGTGTGCTTCTTCCATGTGGGCTTTGTTGCTTCTGAGCTAGATGGCCACTTGTTTATCTTCAAGCCTTTAAGACCCCAGACGCTATATCTTTTGATAGCCAGGCACCATCAGCTTTCTTCAGTTCAGTCATTTTAAGAAGAGTTGTACAATCATCACCACAATCAGTTTTAGAAAGGAATAGTTTTTGAGGTCAGTGTTTGATATTTGTTTTGGTTCCTTTAGGGATCATCCTACTGGTGTTCCCCCCCCACCACCCCCCCCCCCCCCCAAAAACTATGGTAAGAGTGATTTGTTCTGATGAAACCGTATATCTGATCCCCCAACCTCCTGCTATAAACTAGCTCCTCTGCAGTCTAGGACGTGGGTTCATCCTAGGCACAACAATTGGTCTCTTCACTTGGGGAAACAGAAGTAGAGGGGAACCAGGAATGAGGGAAGGAAATGGATGTGTGGCTAATTGTCTCCATGAGGCTAGAGGAGCCGAATGGTACCAGGCTACCATTTCTGAACATTTTGATCAATTAGAAGAATCCTGATTAAAAGTGGGGAAATGTGTTATTTCAAATCTTCGGAGGTTCCAGATTTCCTGGAGGCTCAGAGAGTAGATGAACCCCCATACTATTACCCAGAGATTATCTTTAAACCATAAAGCAAAAATATCTCTTAAAGGCTTTTTAAAACCAAACAGTAGTTTAGCTTAACAAGAATGTTTGTCTCTTGAGCATCATGCTCTTTTAAGCCCCAATTGTATGGGAATTTAGGGGACAGTGAGTTAATATTAATAGAGGTGGAAAAACTCAGCAAAGGAGGTTGAGAATGGTTGTACAACTTGAATATAATCAACATTTCACCAGATTTTGTGAGTGAAATAAATTATTAAAAAGAAAAAATCTAAACATCTTCCAGTGCCTATCATTTCAGCCTGCGTTATTCTTGAGAGCACCCTAAGGGTTAAACTTCTGCATACTGTGTTTTTAGTGAAGTTCCTTTGGTAAGAGATAAGGAACTTACCTGTTTGAGTTCTGCCTCTCCCATCAGGCAAAATCTCTGAGCATGTGTTCTCCAGCTAGAGTTGGGACTGTGGCTCACTTCTCCTGAGGGGTAGTTCTCCCCTCTTTAGGAGTCAAGTGCACAGTTGGAGAGGGGCCAGCATTCTGAGGTTTTCCTAACTTGCCTCTGCTGAGCCACCACTTCACAAGTTGGGCAAAAGGCTAGAAGTAGCGGCTACTAGGGCTCTAGGATTTTCAACACTGACAGCACAGTGTGTAGAGCCTCCATTTCTCTCCTGGGTTCATGGCTGTAGCATCCTTTTTTTTTTTTTTTTTAAGTCATTTCATTGGGGGCCTCATACAACCCATCACAGTCCATACATACATCAATTGTATAAAGCACATTTGTTCCTTTGTACATTTGTTACCCTCATTATTTTTTTTAATTATTTTATCGAGGGCTCGCACAATTTTTATCAGTCCATATGTCCATCCATTGAGTCAAGCACATATGTACACCTGTTGCCCTCATCAATCTCAAAACATTTGCCCTCTACTTTAGCCCTCAATATCATTTGCTCATTTTTTCCCCTCCCTCCCCACTCCCCCTCCCTCCTGCACCCTTCATAATTCATAAATTATTATAGTTTTGTCATAAGTTACACTGTCCGAGTTTCCCTCCGCCCTCTTCTCTGCTGTCCATTCCCCAGGGAGGAGGCTATACATAGATCCTTGTAATCGGTTCCCCCTTTCCACCCCACATTCCCTCCACCCCCCAGGCATCACTACTCTCACCACTGGTCCTGAAGGGATCATCTGTCCTGGATTCCCTGTGTTTCCAGGTGCTATCTGTACCAATGTACATCCTCTGATCTAACCAGATTTGTAAGGTAGAATTGGGATCATGATAGTGGGAGGGAGGAAGCATTTAAGAACTAGAGGAAAGTTATATGTTTCTTCATTGCTACCTTGCACCCTGATTAGCTCGTCTCCTCCCCAAAACCCCTCAGCAGGGGGTGTTCAGTTGCCAACCGATGGACTCTGAGTCTCCACTCTGCACTCACCCACCTTTACAATGACATAATTTCTTGTTCCTTGATGCCTGTCACCTGATCCCTTCAACAGCTTGTGGTCACACATACTGGTGTGCTTCTTTCATGTGGGCTTTGTTGCTTCTGAGCTAGTTGGCCGCTTGGTGCTGTAGCATTCTTGAGTGGAGTCTGATTGAGCTTGAGCCAGAGAAGAGTGCAGCTTTAGTTTAAATATCATATTCCGTTACTTTGCTTGTCAAAGTTTTGTACATTTTCCTGACTCTATGTTTCTTTATTTGAGTAATTCTTTAAAAGAATAATTTTTACCACTTTCACTGTGGAACAGATCAGCAGAGCTCCTCATACTGCTCTGGTGGACTTGCTGGTTACTCCTGCCTTTGTTTTTGGAGTGAGACCTAACTCAGTAGCATTTGCTTCATTTTGCTAACACCGCTATTAGGAAGTGGAAGGTGGTCACATAGTCCCCAACAACCAGCCTGCGATGCAGCAGGATGTGAGCATTGATTTCCTGGGCCACGTTCCCTGAGAGGATGGACTGCCTCTGTGAAGGGGAAGCTGCACCTAGAATCCAGAGAAGGTTAACACAACGAGCGCGGAGTCAGTTGACTGAGTCCTTTCAAAATCGTTGTTGCTGTTAACTCTTGACTTCTTTGACCTAATTAAGATATTGGAATCAGCAGGTTTTGTCCTCTCAGTTTTGATTTCCTCTTCAATTAGAGTTGCTTTTAAATTTCGCCTCACCCCCCCTTTCTTTCTTTCCAGGGGCCACTCAATAGTGAGTCTTCCAATCAGAGCTTGTGCAGCGTGGGATCTTTGAGTGATAAAGAAGTAGAGGTAAGACGCTGCATTCATTACATGACTTTTCATATTTTCAAGCTTCCAGTCGGGTTAAAGATACGCCTGCATATCTCCAGGAGGTGCTTTTGTAGTCTGTGTGAGTGGAGCCTCTCTGAGTTGTATGCTGTTTATATTTGTGTAGCAGTGCTTGGCCCTAAGGGTTTTTATTATTGTAATCTTGTTTGGGCGTGGTGTGGGGTTGGGGGGGTTTGTGTTAAATCATTAGTTTGACCATTAATAAAGGGCAGAATTTTGCAGTTGTAGCTGAATTAGTTTAAGTCCTCTTAAGTTTTAACATTTGTTCAACAAAGTGGGCCAATCAGTGCCACCTCACTAATTATAATAGAATTTGAAAGTTTTGTTTGCTGGTTAAATGGAAGTTCAAGTTATTTTTTTACTAAGCAATGAGTTCAGGTTTATGAATCTAAATCGGCACCCACTAACTTTGACTTAAGTCAAAAGAAATAAAGTTCAATCAAGTTGGTTGCTTTTGCAATATTTAATTTTGGAGATTGGGTTTAAGCTCACCTGTTTCTTTTAGTCTCTTTACATCAAAATACAGTGTCTACCAGTTGGTGTTAAGTCAATTTCCAACTTTAGTGACCCTGTAGAACAGGTTAGATCTCAGACTGCCACGTCTTCCTGGTGAGGAGCAGCTGGTGGATTCACATGACGGGCCTTCCACTTAGTGGAACGCTTGAACCATGGTGCTACCAGGTCTCCTTGTATGGGTTTGGTGACAGCTACAAATGGAAAGTTTTTATAGTTGCTTATCTTCTATTGTGTATAGGTAGTTACTGTGGATCTAACTTTCAAAGAAGATAGGTTAAAAAACTAGATTGAAAGTGGGGGTAAAAAGATAAAAGCATTAGGGACATGAAAGCATTTAGGTTTATCATTAATACTATCAGTAAATCTCCATTTACTGCCCTATTCAGAAGCAAGTAAACAATTCTAAAAATAAAAGTAAGTCTTAGTCACTTTCCAGGGCTGGACCTGAACTCACCCCTGTGGCTCAGATTTCAGTCAAACAATAGGCAAATCTGTAGGGTGGACTAGGGAGGTACACACTCCTTAGAATTATCAACCACTTGAGATTGAAAAGGGCAGCATTTGTCAAAGGACAAAATTGGGAAGACAGGAAGGTTAGGAAAGGAGGAATGAAGAAAGGTAGCACAAGGAGGCAGTGAATTGTCAGACTTGGAATCAGTGACATGACACAAGGTGTATGAATTGTTGAGTAGAAAACAGATTTGCTCTGTAAATCTGTACCCGATTAACAGTAAAAAGTAAATTTTTAGTTCTGGAATTTGAAAGATGTAGAAATTATGTTACTAAATGAACAATGGGTTGAAAGGCCAGCCTTTTTATGTCTCTTAGTCTTTTAGTTTCCAATTTATCAGTTTCTAAACCACACCCCCTTTTCACTTAATGACATGGTTAGGTTCCACAGACCAATTTGTTATCGTGCTTTGTGCAAATGAAGGATGACCGCATCAAATCACACAACGGAAAATGACTCCATCATATAACTCCCATATTATATGGATACATATATTATTATTAAATGTCAAACACTGAGAATGATGACTTAGTAAAATTGACAAATAACCTTAACCATCATAGCCAGCATTACTCTTCTTATAACTTTACTTTTTTACTTAATATCAGATGGACATTGCCAGTGATAGTTGGATAGTAGATTTTTTTAAAACTATTGTCATAAATGTTAGATAAGGGATATAGTTGATAGTGAGAAGTAAGTGTATCTTAACTTTTAAAGTAGAAATATTGTATAGTCCCTGCTTTCAGAGAAGGACTGATTTAGGACTTGTCTGTGCCAGCTATGTCTCCTTATTCACGGATACTGTGTACGGGTGTTCTTATTTTTCATAATGTGCAAGACGTACCAAATTGCTAATTGCGATGTATATGGTATTTCACAGACTCCAGAGAAAAAGCAGAATGACCAGCGAAACCGCAAAAGAAAAGCTGAACCATATGAAACGAGTCAAGGTAGTAGTAATTTCACACCAATAAAAATGCTAAATTCTCATGTACTCAGATAGAATTTTCTCACTAAATGTGAGTGATAATTTGTGTAAAGGGAGATTTATGTATCACCAGGGAATAGCAGGCTATTTATTACAGGCTTGCCATTTGATATACACCTGACAAAACTGTCAGTTCTTTTGGGACTTGAGTTTTCCCTCTTGTTTCATCTTCTTGCCACAGATTTCTCTTCAACAAACATGTATTGTACAGAACAAAGGTGTTTAACTATGTTTATGTTTATGTCTTGCTTTAAATCAGTGATTTGCTAATAATGGGCCACCAGAATTTTTTTCATTTACTTTATTGTTCTTTTCATCAACTCTTCTTCCATGGCATGTAGAACAAATAAACCTCTTAACTAGAATGGTTATGATGCCAAATACTTTTATATAATCAGAGAGAATAAATGATTTGCCTCCCCCCACTTTCTAAGACATGAAGGCCTAGTGAATTTGCATGGTTTCCTTTTTTAAAAAATCTGAAATAATTAACATTTCTTTGGGGGGAAAATTCTTCTTTAGTGCTAAGATCACATTTATTGTGAAAAAGACTAACCTTTCAATTGATGAATTGAGTTTTTCTGAATTGAGTTTGTTTTGAGCTTTCCTTTCTCCTTGGTATATTTAGGATTAGGAGTAAGGACTGTAGATTTATTTTGATTCACAGTAATGATAAACATTTTGTTGATGTATTAATTAAAGAAATGTTACTGGATATTAAGGGAAAGCAAGGTGTAAAAAATTTCCTCAGTCTGTGACTGCCACGAGGACACTGTCACTGTTCTTAAGGCACGTGTTTTGGCTCATTTGTGAACATGAACGCTGACACTTGGCCTGAAAGCAACATATGCAGTTATTGAATACACAATAAGCGTATTGTAGTAAATTGATGATTTACATGTGCATTGGAAAAACTGTACTTACTTTGGTTTCATTTTCAGGGAAAGGCACTCCTAGGGGACATAAAATTAGTGATTATTTTGAGGTAAGTTAAAAATTTTTTGGGAACAAAAATACAGTGGTTTTGTTAAAAACTTAAGCCCTATATGTTCATGGAAAGCTTTAGAAAGCATTGATTTGCCTTGACGCTGCTCCTCCTCTTCATCTTCATCAATCTAATTCTGCCCTGTCTCTCAGTAAGAGGAAACCTGCTGACTTCTTAAATTTGAGTTTGTTTAATATGTGTCTTGTCTGTGATGATACAAGAACTCACAAATGAGGATGGTTCTCTTGGCCAGACTAGGTTTTGTGTCTTATAACGATGGAAATGGAATGACTTGGACTCTCCTCTTGTCCTCTTCCCTTTAGTTTAGTGGATCATGTAATGAGCTCACTGACTCATCATTAGTGGTTTCTAAAGAAGGCACTTACCATCGAGTGTACCACTGTATTCCTGTTTGGTGAATTTTGAGAAAAGAAGGGGAAAAACATTCTTCTCTCATGTCCTGTCAAAACCACATGTTCTGCTTTCTAGCCAGGCTTTCTTTATGTCTTGGTACATTTCTGCGGGAGCTCCTTCTTAAAAATCTTGCTGAAATGATGGTGAAGTTGGACCTGCATAACATTTTCTCCCTAGAGAATAAGATGTTTTGACTTAAGGGGCCATATAAAATGAAGACCTGTTTATGTATTAACCTTTTACTCTCCTTATCTGAAGCATAGTACTGTTACGAATTATTCATATCCGTTTTTCCCTGTTGGGCAGTTTGCTGGGGGAAGCGGGCCAGGAACCAGCCCTGGCAGAAGTGTTCCACCAGTTGCACGATCCTCACCGCAGCATTCCTTATCCAATCCCTTACCGGTAAGCACTCACCTGGCGAGACTCCTCAAAACCCATTACACGTTGGCACCAGAGAGCCCGGAACGCTCAAGCATACTTTCTCTTCAATTAATTACCCTTGGGGAGTAAGGAATTAGAGGGAGAAGTTCATCATATTAACTCTGAATTCCTTACTTTGGTTCAAGTCTAGATTAAGGAATTAACTTTTTTATGAGCCCTTCCCCTATTCACTCGGTATAATACATTGGCTCTGAGACGCAGGGCTCTGTCGAGAGTCATTTCCAATCCCAACATCAGGTTTTTGTCCTTTCACAGCTTTATTTGTTCATTTAACTAATTCTTGTTTTTGTTTTTAATTTGGTCAGCTCCTGGCATTTGAATTTTCCCTAGAGCAGACTTACTGATGTAGCAGTGGAGACTTGAATGCTCTACAGATTTGAGATAGTTTGCTTCCAGCCTGTCAATGAGATATGAATGAATTAACCTTATAGCTAACAGTGCTTCTTAAAGAAGGGGACAGTTTTGCCTCCAAAGGGCCATTTTGCAGTGTCTGGAGTCATTTTGTTGGTCAGGAGAGAGGGAGGGAGGGAGGGAGGGAAGGGCAGATGCCATAGATATCTAGTGGGCAGGTCCAGAGATGCTGCTAAACGCTCTGCAAGGTGTAGGACGCGAGCCCTCCACACCAGAAATTATCTGGTCGAAAATGTCAGCAATGATGAGGTTGAGAAACTGAGCTAGGTAATGTAGAATTTTCTGTTAATTTGCTCAAGTGACTTTGGATAATTTATTGATAACCATATAAGACCTCTGTGAAACCTTCTCATTGCTACGAGAGCTTGGGGAACAGCGGCACAGTGGGTAGTTGTCTCTGAGCTCCGCAGTGCTCATTCTAAGTCTCTGTTCAGGGGAGTCGTTGTTTCTTCTTTAGCTGAATCATAGAAGACTACTCTTGGTAAATGATCTACACTTCTGAATTTTTATAATATTTAAAAATAAACCTCCTCCTCCTCTTTTGTCCTATTAAAACGTGCATTCATTAGTATGATTGTAATTATTAAAACACTTAGGTCACCCCTACTGTATTTTAAAACATTAGAAATGTTTGAGGCCTAAGATCTGTTTGATAGCTTTTAGGTTTGTTAGATACTGATCCGGGAGGACTGTGTCTTTATTTTCTTAAATTTTAAACCAAAAAGTTTATTAAATGAGATAGTAGACTTTCTCTTTAAGGCAAATACCATATATACTCGAGTATAAGCCGGCCTGAATATTTGGCGAGACACCTAATTTTACCACAAAAATTGTATTAAAAATGTGCTGAAAAACTTGGCTTATACATGAGTACATATGGTATGTTTCGTAGAATTTACCTATGTTTATTGCTACTTTCATTCTGAAATATTTTTTTAATTTAATTAATAGTGTGTCAGTTTAGGTGAAGTATTACCTGAAGACAAAATATGTACTCAGTGGTCTGTGGACGCTTCTGCCAGCTGTAGGAATGATGACTGGACCTCATCTTCATTATGTAAATCTAAGTACCTGTTAGATGTTGGCACGGCACAGAACCAAACCTTAATTTCTGTTTTGCATTGCACCAAGAAACTTTTTATCCTTTGTCTTTATCCCAACTTAGATTTTGAGGTTCATTATTATAATCACTGATTAGTATATACTTTTTCAGTTCCCCCTCCCCTCCCCTCCCCT